TTTCTCTCACTTCTCTTCCAAAGGTCTGCATTGCTAAATACTTTAAATCTTCCTCACTGCCTGATTGAGGCCATACGCATGCACTCTCTTTTGATTTCTATATGCTAAATCACTAAAATAAAACAAACTACCTATCATACTTGATTTAGGTTTATTTCTTCCATAAGGGTTTAGCATTAGACAAATGGGGGTTGGAAGGGTAGAGAACAAACTTAAAAGAATCAAAGAAACTAATTGATTGATTCCATGCTAAATATGCCTGACTAGTATCAATTTGCAAGACATGGATGTTACATTTGGATGGAGACCAGCAGGAAGATATCTAATAATAACCTTGGGCAGAATTCCAGTTGACCACAATAAATGCCCAGGGAAGCTCATGTTTGTTTGTTTTCGCCAATATTGCACATTAAGAGTGTTTCACTTTTAAGATGTATGCTGTTCTGAGTAGCCACTCAGAACAGATGGTAATATTAGCAAAGGAATAGATGGTAATATTAGCAAAGGAAGCCATTGATGTCTCTGGAAATCTGGTCATCTTTTTGAACACTAGCAGATGAGTGTCCTACCTCCAAACTGACATAATGCACCTTCTGCAAGACAGCAGTCTCTTGGCACTGCTTAGTTTTGAAGTAAAACCTGAAATGAACTCCTCCTGCTAACGTGGCATATAGCCCTTATTTTTTTTTTTTTTTTTTACTTCCAAGGCCTTCTCAGTTGATCCATAGTACATCCATCTTCATGGAAGTGACGATTGCAGTCTAGAATTACAATTCCTCTGACAACAGAAGGCACCCCTAGAAGAATTTGACCAAGGTCATTAACCAAATCCTTAAGCAGACAACTTTCAGGGTGGCTGGGCCTTGTTAGAAAGGGCTTCTGGGGGCCGGGCGCGGTGGCTCAAGCCTGTAATCCCAGCACTTTGGGAGGCCGAGGCGGGTGGATCACGAGGTCGAAAGATCGAGACCATCCTGGTCAACATGGTGAAACCCCGTCTCTACTAAAAATACAATAAAACTAGCTGGGCATGGTGGCGCGTGCCTGTAAACCCGGATACTTAGGAGGCTGAGGCAGGAGAATTGCCTGAGACCAGGAGGCGGAGGTTGCGGTGAGCCGAGATCGTGCCATTGCACTCCAGCCTGGGTAACAAGAGCGAAACTCCGTCTCAAAAAAAAAAAAAAAAAAAAAAAAAAAAAAAGAAAGGGCTTCTGGGGCACCTGCTGAGCCCAGAGGATCTTTCTTGGCATAATCTGAGGGCTGGGAAGATATGAGGACACAGTCCTTGCTCAGAGGAGTCCTTGTATCTCAGGAGTTAGGTTTCCAAGGGCAGTTATATCATACCACCCAAGGCCACTGAGTTTCTCATCTTGACAGTCAAGCTTATGAGTCACCTTGCATCATGTTTAATCAGGAAAATAGTAAAGAACTGAAAACAAGTCAAGAATCAAGAGTAAACATTGTAACAGTGAGTTACACAGTTCTCAGAAGCATCTCAAATCAGAGCAGCATGGTAAAATGGTAAGGGTAGTAAGATTACGTTCCTAAAATATAGGCTCTATCATAAAACCTAGGTAATGTTTTTGATATTTCTTTTCTAATTTCTTTATCAGAGTTATTTCATTCTATTTAATTGTCTCCTTTCTTATATTTTCCTCTAATGAAGAATAAGGCAGGTAGAGAAACTAGAAGTATTCCTTTCAGAAAGACTTCCCCTTGAAACATGATTTAATCACATGTGCAATATTGTTATCAATTTGTTACTTACAGGGATCTAAAATATAGACTGCTTTAAAGTCCTGTTTACTCACTCACATATGCCAGCTCCTCACTTTATTTCAGCAACTGGGAGCAGGAGCCTGCCCTCTGAAGGAGAATTCAAGTGTGGAGCTTCAATCCTAAACAGGCCACCTGCAAATATTTCATACACTTTCCATAGTTAGTTAAGCTTAACTCAGTAGACACGCTCTGTTGATTGCTGTGGTGTCAGTGACCCACATACAATTTGGAGCTATATGTCTGGGTGCTGGGAGAAATGCAGAATTGATACAATTTGAAATATGAAGACATTAGCAAAGCTACAAGATCAACAGAAACTACTAAAAAATAGAGAAAAAATGTTAATTTCATATTTTCACTTGCTGCTCACTCTCTTAATCAACAAACTTTTTTATTAAGTAGTTAGCATGTGCCTTACTTATTAAAGTAAGATCATTAGCAAAGGAAAGTTAGGCTATGAAGTATAAATCCAAATTTAGAATATAAACCTGCAGTGATCAAAGTTAGCTATTAAGAGAAAAAGCACTTTTAAAAATTTAGTAGTGGTTTATAAATTGGTGGCAAGCCCCTATTTAAGCAGTGTCAAATTTCGGTAGCCCATGATAATGATGAACAACATGGAAAACTTTTTATCATAAATAAATCAAAGCAGGTGCTTCAACAGTTCAACTTCTGTATATCCCTATCATACCTATGCATGTGTATGATACACACACACACACACACACACACACACACACATACACACACACACACACACATGCAAAACCAGAACCGGCAAAAAGATGGGAAGGGAATGTATCTCACTTATGAATATATTATAGAAGAAAGATCTTTCACTTTTCAGGTGTAGAGCTCTGGGTTCAAATCCCACCTCTGCCCCCTTCAAAGCAGTGTGACCCTTGGATAAGTCACTTACCCTCTCTGAACCTCAGTTTCCTTATTTCTAAATGGGTGGGAGGCGAGGGTATAGAGCACATTGCCAGCTTTGTGTGGTTCTTGTGAGTTACTACCTGGAATAAGCTGTCACGAGTGAAAGTGGAAAGTAACTTGGCCAAGTGTGGTGGCTCACACTTATAATCCCAGCACTTTGGGAGGCCAAGGTAGACAGATCACCTGAGGTCAGGAGTTTGAGACCAGGCTGGCCAACATGGCAAAACTCCATCACTACTAAAAATACAAAAAAAAAAAAAAAAAAAAAAAAAAATTAGCCAGGCGTGGTGGTGCCTGCCTGTAATCCCAGCTACTCAGGAGGCTGAAGCAGGAGAATCCCTCAAACCCAGGAGGTGGAGGTTGCAGTGAGCTGAGATCAGGCCACTGCACTCCAGTCTGGATGACAGAGGGAGACTCCAGCTTTTAAAAACTGAAAGCAACTTGAACTTTCTTCCTTTCCTTAATTTTCTCTGCTGATCTCTCTTAGGCAGAAGCAACCAAGAAGCAGAATAGCTAAGGGGTAAAAATGGAAGGAAAAATAGTAGACAAAAGAGACGGAAATGATGCACAAACTTGAGCTGGATGTCGCCTTGCTCTCCTCTGCCCTTTACCTCTGTCAGGAAGGTATGTGATGCAAATTTGGAGATTGTTGTTACTTTAAAAAATATATTTTTGAGTAAGCATGGGCACAAAAAACATAAATAAATAAATATATATATATAGGTCCTGTGCTGTGGCACAAGCCTATAATCCCAGCTGCTTAGGAGGCTCAGGCAGGAGGATCACTTGAGTCCAGCAGTTCAAGTTTGAGGCCAGCCTAGACAAGAGAGTGAGTCTCTTTCTCTCTGTATATATGTGTATACATGTATATGTGTATATGATGATCTTGCAATATGCTTTTAGTAGTCATTTTTCTTTATGCTAAACCATGAGTTGTTTAGTGACTCAAAGGAATCCCTTAGTAACAAACTTATTGGGATGGTTGGTATCTCATGAGAACATAGACATTACATCGTGTAGGTCATTCAGTAAGTGGGTAAAGTACTAGGGCACAGTTAGTATTAAACTGCCCTAAAAGAAAATATTTTTTAAAATAGAAACATAGAGGGGAAAGCCCACAGTGCTCTACTGTAACTTCCTCTGCATTTATGCTTTTTAGGAAGTTGTTCGAAGCCTGCCTTTGAACCCTTATTAACTCTTAATAAGAAATAACAATTTCTGGCCTTGTCATCTGTGAGCCCTAATTTTGCAGGTTCTCAGAAAATGCTACATAACAAAATCCTTTTTAAAAAAACTCTTCCCAGGGTCAAACTCCACAGCCAATCAAAATATTCCACCTTTTAACTTGTGGGAAATTGGTAAAGGAAAGGATAGCTTTAACTAGTGTGTCTTTTGGATTGGGGTCTCAAAGAGAGGTCTCCCCAAGTTCCACAAGATTTCAGACCACAGAAAACCCACCACCCATTCGTGTTTTTTATTCCTTGAGGACACAGGCTGAGGCGATTGGGAACGAAGTTTCACATCTACCTAGAAGATCATGACCAGTGGTAGAAAGACAACCAAATTTGGGAGAGCAGTTACGGTGCAGTTACGGAGGCGGAAGGACGCTCTCAGTACCCCGTTTCCACACTTTCATTCTTAAAGGCATGCAGCCCCTTTCTAAATAAATGTATCGTCCCCAGTTTTCCAACACCTGAAGAGAAACCCTCACAGCACACTCTGGAAATGTTTTACAATTCATTTTAAATGCGTATTGTTTCCAACTACATCATTGAGGGACTCCTGTGTATTTATTTATTTATTTTGAACATTTTCAAACGGATAGGGAAGTTTTGCTTCCATGTCATTTCCATTTCTTCCCCCAAACTGGCATTAGGCTCCAAAATCAGTTGAGGAACGAATCATTCCTTAGCTAGAATTTAAAACTTAACAAGGGACTCGTCCCGAGCTTGGTGAAAAGAATACCATTTTAAAATTGCACTGTAGGATTTTTTACCTTCAGACAAGAACACACCTAAAAGGAAAAAGCGCCACCCCCCCCCCAGCACAAAAACACAGCATATCCCAAGCAGCCCGTTTCCTACCCAGCCAATACAATAATGCTTTGTAAGCTGAGAGCAGCGCCCGGTATAGAAGCTAAGTATAAACAGCTGAGAAGGATTAGGCGGTAGCGCTCTTCTCATTTACATGAAAATCCTCTAAGCATCGTTTTTCCTCGCTGGCTGCGGGCGCATAAGGAACTCTTTTATGCCATTGCCACGCATACATTTCCATCCTTTGTCTTTACTTACCAGTCGAGGCTGTGGGCATGTGTGCTCTATTTCCTCCATGGTTTCTGAGGGAGGCTCATTGGAAAGGGATTTTGGGATACCTGTTTCTGACTCAGCATCAGTGGTAACTACTGGCATGGCCAGTGAATGCTCCCTCTAGCTCTACACCCTTAAAGAGTCTCCTCCCAGGCAGAGAATGTTTTCTTTGTCACGTATTTTTCTCCTCCCCACGTATCCCCCCCCCCCATTCTTCTCCTCTTCTTGCTGTCTTCCCTCGAGGAAGTAAAGAGGTTACCCCCCCGCCCCTTTCTCTCTCTCTCTCTCTCTCTCTCTCTCTCTCTCTCTCTCAGAAGCCAAGAGGCAAGGCCTCAGTTTATCACTATAACAACCAGACGACACTGAAGAGGCTGGTGCGGGATACAGTATCTCATTTGCATAGAGCGCGCTGGTTGGCTACTGTCATCATAGTACCACTCCGCCGGGGAGCGGCCGGGCCCCATTGGCTGCCCGCTGTACCCACGGGCCCGAACTTGCTGCTTTTGTTTCTTCTGTTTAATTCAGTTGCAAAGGTCTCCGTCCTCTCCGGGCACGGGACGCGGGCTGCGCCACCCAGATAACGTAAAACCGCTTCCTGAGGGGCCCAGGGCGCCGCTTGAGAAACAACATAGCAGACCTCCACTAATAAAGGACAATGTCCCTGACATGAGCGAGCGCATGATGTGCCGTAGTCAGGATATTTGCCAAATAGAAGTCACCCTGAAGACAAAAGCCACTTTTGAGCCTAAATTCACTGTGCCAATTGCCAGTGGGGGGGCCCCTCCGGGCATTCACTATGGGCACCTGAGTGTTTACCCCGTAGACCCCATGCAACATGAACCCTAGCAGATCCCCTGTGGCCTGGTGAAGCCCTGCAGCCCTCCCCTGGGGCTGCCTTAGGGGGAACTTTGAAGGAGGTAAATTGTCTTTAAGAGCCTGCCTCCTACTCCTGGCTGCCCTTCCCAGTTGCTTCCTCTGTCAGCCACTCTTCCTCCTCCCCAGCTATTCAAAGTTTCCTCAGGAAGTCTTGCTGTTGTGTACCTTTCAATACACTGTTCCGTGCACTGGTCTATTACCCCTTGGCTCCCACTTTACCAGTCGTGGGTCGCATTTCTAAAGTACCCTGCTCTCAGCCAAATGCTCATGGCAATCAGAGATGGAATGTTAATGATCAGGTGCTTTAATGTCTACATTATCTAGGGACATTCACATTTTAAGAGGAGCATTCTGAAGACACACACCCAAAGAACTTATCAAGGTATTCGTTGTGAATTGTCGCTTTTAATAGTAATAAAAAATCATGATAATCTCTGGCATTTATTAAGCACAAACACAGTGCTAAGTACTTTACCTAGTCCTTATTTAATCTTTGTAAGAACCCAGAGAGGTAGATCCTGTTGTTATCCCCATTTTACAGGTATTCACATTCGCAAAGCTCTAAAATAATGGGATTTGAAGGATTATTATTATTATTATTATTTTTTTTTTTTTGCGAGGGGCGGGTGCGTGGGGAGCAGGGATGCAGCAGTTACAGTAAGAAAAGGATCTAGGCAGGAGTCCTCTTAGGACAAGTCCCTGGGCTTCTACATCTTTCATTTTTATCTATAGCAGTGGTTTTCATCCAAGCGTGGTCTGAGACCAGCAGCACCAACATCAGCATCACCAGGGAACTTGTTAGAAATGCAAATCATTGCCGGGCGCGGTGGCTCAAGCCTGTAATCCCAGCACTTTGGGAGGCCGAGGCGGGTGGATCACCAGGTCGAGAGATCGAGACCATCCTGGTCAACATGATGAAACCCCGTCTCTACCAAAAATACAAAAAATTAGCTGGGCATGGTGGTGCGTGCCTGTAATCCCCGCTACTCAGGAGGCTGAGGCAGGAGAATTGCCTGAACCCAGGGGGCGGAGGTTGCGGTGAGCCGAGATCGCGCCATTGCACTCCAGCCTGGGTAACAAGGGCGAAACTCCGTCTCAAAAAAAAAAAAAAAAAAAAAAAATGCAAATCATTGGCCCCCCTGCCAGACCCCAGACCTGATTCAGTAAATCTGGGGTGGGGTCAGAATTTGCTCTTCTTTTTTTTTTAGGCAGAGTTTCGCTCGTTACCCAGGCTGGAGTGCAATGGCGAGATCTCGGCTCACCGCAGCCTCCGCCTCCCGGGTTCAGGCAATTCTCCTGCCTCAGCCTCCTGAGTAGCTGGGATCACAGGCACGCGCCACCATGCCCAGCTAATTTTTTGTACTTTTAGTAGAGACGGGGTTTCACCTCGTTGACCAGGATGGTCTCGATCTCTTGACCTCGTGATCCACCTGCCTCGGCCTCCCAAAGTGCTGGGATTACAGGCTTGAGCCACCGTGCCCGGCCAGAATTTGCTCTTCTAACAAGTTTCTGGATGATGTGAATGCTGCAGGCCTGAGAACCATGCTTTGAGAATCAATAGCCCAAAGGATGGGATAAAAATACTGGCAAATGAGATATTGTGGGAAGTAGAAAAGTTCTTCTTCAAAGTTTCCTTTCTTATTAAAAAACAAATTTGCTAATAAGTCTTTGTTAAGTCCTATCCTATGTAGCTGTTAGACATGCCATGCTTGTAGGCACGTAGTATATGCTATGTCCTTGTACTTTAACCAAGATGTCTGTGCTGGATGTGTTCAGAGGCATGTCCCAGCTTGCAGCCTATGCCCCTTACCTGTTTAAAAATGTTTTAAGTTGGCCGGGCGCAGTGGCTCAAGCCTGTAATCCCAGCACTTTGGGAGGCCGAGGCGGGTGGATCACGAGGTCAAGAGATCGAGACCATCCTGGTCAACATGGTGAAACCCCGTCTCTACTAAAAATACAAAAAAGTAGCTGGGCATGGTGGCGTGTGCCTGTAATCTCAGCTACTCAGGAGGCTGAGGCAGGAGAATTGCCTGAACCCAGGAGGCGGAGGTTGCGGTGAGCCTAGATCGCGCCATTGCACTCCAGCCTGGGTAACAAGAGCGAAACTCCGTCTCAAAAAAAAAAAAAAAAAAAAAAAATGTTTTAAGTTATTAGCCAATCGGGTTTTAGTTTAAGTTGTGAGGTCTGGCTCCAACCAACAGAGATCAGATGCAGCAGTAAGGACAACCCCAAATGCGTAAGGGATAAATATGTCTGCTTTTCCTTTGTTCATTATACTCTTGTGGCAAGATGACTAGCGAGGGTACCCTTCCTGCAGTGCAGGAAGTACAAATTGCCTTGCTGAGAGATGTTTTGTCTCAGTGCTAATTTTTCTTTGCAGGACCAAGCATCTGTTTCCAACAGATATCATGTCAATGTACTTTGTGAATTAGGATGTGCTATGCTAATGTAAGGGGACATTATTTTTATTACTCCTTAATAAGCAAAGACAGCTAGCCCTAAAAGAAGAAGAAAGTGGATTCTGTAGCAGAGAATTACAGTTTGACAGTTTTTGATCCTGGCCCTTTAAGACAAAATGACATCACTTGAGAGTATTACGACCTATACAGGACAGAACTCCAGTGACGTGAGAATTCCAGTGATGCTTGGGTCATCTAAAAGGGGCCAGTTGCCAGGCGCGGTGGCTCAAGCCTGTAATTCCAGCACTTTGAGAGGCTGAGGCAGGTGGATCACGAGGTCAAGAGATTGAGACCATCCTGGTCAACATGGTGAAACCCCGTCTCTACTAAAGATACAAAAAATTAGCTGGGCATGGTGGCACGTGCCTCTAATCCCAGCTACTCAGGAGGCTGAGGCAGGAGAATTGCTTGAACCCAGGAGGCGGAGGTTGCAGTGAGCCAAGATCGCGCCATTGCACTCCAGCCTGGGTAACAAGAGTGAAACTCCGTCTCAAAAAAAAAAGGGGGGGGCCAGTTGCCTCCTATTCTGTCTGCCCTCCTAGAAGCACAAAACACCTCCAGCTGCAGGTTTAGCTCTATCAGCTCACCGCCTGGAAGAGCCAAGCCCTGTGTTACATTTAGGAGCCCCTTTCCCACCTGTACTGGGTGACGTGCAAGTGACATGGTTATTCTAATCTCAATATATGTATTTTTGCCTTAGAGCAGTGGTTCTCAAAGTGTGATTCTCCAGGAAGTAGCACCAGCAGCCCTGGTCACTTATCAGAAATTCTGTATCCCCACCCCAGACCTACTGAATCAGAAACTGAGGTGGTGGAGCCCAGGTGCTTTAACAAAGCATTCTGACCCTTTCTAAAGTTTACAAACCACTGCCTTAGAGTCATTGTTCACATTGGAAAGCACCTAACCCCACTGTATTCTGGGCCACTGAACCGCTCCTTGGCTCCTCACTGGTCATCTGAGTCATCTAATTCTCTCTCCAGAATGAGAGGTTCACCTGTTCACCCGCCCATTTCACAGAGTTCTGATGTCTAGCTGGGTCCTTGTGAACTCCTGTCCAAGAGCCTAGACCATCCCATTAGACTCTCAATATTTTCTGCCTCCCTTCCTCACCTTCCTCCCCTCCTAATCCTCCCTGTCCCATTGAACCAAAATGCTGCCTCTGCCTAGGATATCTTCATTGTGTTACCCGCATCAAACCCTTAGCTTTCAGTGCCACTTTGTGCTAAATCCAAGTCACCCGAGACACTTATTCATCCCAAGTCCTTAAACTTTGCAATTTAGACTTCTGTCTAACTACCCTGAGGGTCAGCTCTATAACTAATTCCATTCTCACTAATCCTACTCCAGCCTAGTCCTGGCCTGCTCCTGCTCCTCTCCCCATAGTCCTGTGATTGAATCTCAGCGTGTCTTGTAGTTTTTTTTTTTTTTGAGATGGAGTTTCGCTCTTGTTACCCAGGCTGGAGTGCAATGGCGCGATCTCGGCTCACCGCAACCTCCGCCTCCCGGGTTCAGGCAATTCTCCTGCCTCAGCCTCCTGAGTAGCTGGGATTACAGGCACGCGCCACCACGCCCAGCTATTTTTTTTTTGTATTCTTAATAGAGACGGGGTTTCACCATGTTGACCAGGATGGTCTCGATCTCTTGACCTCGTGATCCACCCGCCTCGGCCTCCCAAAGTGCTGGGATTACAGGCTTGAGCCACCGTGCCCGGCGTCTTGTAGTTTCAATGGCAGAAATAGACTCTTTCAGACACCACTCTGAGAGGAGTCCTTATCAGATCCACCTACTTCGGAGACCAGTCCTGGCAGCTGCTGCAGCCTGACTCAGAGACTTCTTGATAATACTTGAATGGGTTACTTTAACTTGGGGGCATTGTAATGCTATCAAGACATTTAGCTAAGAATGATCAGTTAATTCCACATTACAGAGCTAAATATTCCATAAGGGTTATGAAGGGGATGACTATGAAGGGATAGCAGGAGAGAGCTTATTGGGGTAATGGAATTATTATGTAGCTCTT